GAGATTGCTGCTCCTTGTCGTGTGGAGGTTAGGCGGGCTTGCCAGCGCGACCCTGGGCTGTTGCGATGTGTCGGACAGCGGGTGATTCTGAAAGGAAACGGGTCGTCAGGTACTCATGCGACGGCGGGCAGTCAAGAGGGCCCCGTCTTAATATGAGTGTGTTAGCAGTCGTGTCAGGCAGCGCAAAACGAATGCGAAGTTGGCAGGCAGTCCGAGCTGGGCTGAGTAGGTCTACAGAGCAAGCTGGGCTGGGCTGGCTGGGCGTTGGCGGGGGCGGGGATGCGTGGACTGATGTAATGCACCGAACTTTTGACCCCACTTCTGACCGGGACGGTTGCTTGATGCCTGTCGGCCTTTTGGATCACGCTCGACGCAACGTCGAGGTACCTGAAAGGTATGTCGCACCTTTGCATCTCATTTGTCGCCGACAAGAGAGCACCCTCTAGTGTTCTCCAATGCATCACCGAACAGCTAAGCTGGCTGGCGGTGCTCCAGCGCGGCAGGCAGGCACCTCGGACTCGCTAGCCATGTACCTCTCTCCTCGCGTCCTCTGTGGAGATTCTGTAGAGGCTTTTGGTCCCTGAGAGCTCGGATAGCTCGGGCCACTACGAGCCTGACTGCGCCAGCGTCAGGCATGCCCATTTCCGGTGCTGGGCTTACCCATTTCCCTTCTTTTCCAGGCAACCCTCGCCTGGTGCATTCCAGAGCAGCACGCGTGCGGCAGAGATAGGTACCTTGCATCGACACAACGTTGACGTGGCTTTGAGCAGGCGATCCTAGGCCAGGTACCTGTTGTCTACATCTGTGGGCAGCCACACGGCCTACGTCACCAGCAACGCAAGCCCCGTGCGTTCCATCAGGTATACCTATTCTTGCAGCCTACCTGCCTGCCTGTAGCGGGCCCCAAGGATCAACGGCGGTCTCACTGTCTACTTGTGCTCGGTGTTGTGCATCTACGCGGCAAGCTAGCCAACCAAGTGCAAGTTTTGGGAGATGCTTGCTCGGATGGACGACTCGCGCAGTGTAGGACATCGCTACAGACTTCGACATACCGGCGGAACAGGTTAAGCTGTGCCCCACCTTTTTGACCAGATCTGCTGTATTTGCCCCTCCATGCTTGGTTGTTGTCGCCTCCGAGGAGTCTAAAGAAAATGCTGAACCTGCACTCAAAGTACTTCACAACTCCAAAGACAACACATCCACAGTACTTCCAAACCCTATTTCCGTAGCTGATTCGGGCTCTGAACTGTCGCTTATCCATCAAATCTAACAATCGAGTTGAGTCCAAAAAAAAAAAACGAACACCGACCATGTCCTATCACTGTAAGGAATGCAGCGACCCTCTGGTCCTCGAGTTGGGACCAGACAGCGACGGAGAGGAAGACGCAACAACTGTTCCGGATGATCTCGAACTCCGCTGCGGCTGTCATTTTCACTGGTAAGGGAACCGGGGGGAGGAGGGGTGGGGAGGAGTTTCCCTTTATTTCTCATTCATTTCTTGTCGTCGTCTAGTTGTTATCGACTCGATCGCTGACAGGGCCTACAGGCAATGTCTTATGGATAAATCGTCCGAAGTGGCCATATCACTCCAGTGCCCCTCATGCCAGACGCACCTTGCCACCAACGAGGATGGTCCTTCGGCGACGAACCAGATCGTGCTTGCGTCCTCGGGTTCCGTCATTCTGGCCCGCTATGTCAATGAGGGTGGCATCGAGGACAACCTCGACATTCTCCCCACGGTGACGGAGGAAGCCTATCTCGTAGCGCACCCCGAGGCAAGGCCCGCACGTGCTTATCACGTTATGTGCTCCGAGGGCGACGCGACTGGCATTGTTGAGCTGCTCCACGATGCCAGCGCGGAGCTCGGTGGCGACACGGTTCAACTGGGTCACCTGATCCGCTACCGTGATCCCCTTAACAACAACAAGAGTGGTCTGCACTTGGCCGTGGAGAAAGGCCGAGAAGAGGTCTTGTGGCTTCTGCTCTGGCTCGCCTCGTCACTGCCAACAGAGAGCTTCCCAGAATCTGCACAAAACGTTGCCAAGGCAGCACACATCGGCCGCCTTGACACTTCTGGTGACGATATCAGGTCTTTGCAGAGCGACGGAGGAAAGTCAGCATATGATATCGCGCAAAGAATGCCTGATCAATGGGGTGTCATTAACGATTTGGGTGTCTTGCGCCCATGATAAATTCGTTAGCTGGTCCAAGGGCTCTTATCGAGATCCCGATTTCTTGGAGTCTCTCGACTTGCTAGACAGCAGCTGCGACAAAATAAAGTGATTGACGTCCTCATCTGCCCAATACCCCATGTGTGATGCAATGGTGTTGATAGGGTTGAAATCCAGAACACTCCTGCATCAAGTTAGCGCAGTTCTTTCCTATACATCGTCGACTAGGCACCGTATTGAGATGTACAACTTACTCCTGGATGCTGTAGTCAACTCTGCCGTTGCGATTTAACGCGCGGATCTTCATGTCTTCGTGGCGCAACTTGCGTGCCTTTTGATCCCAGCCGACCCGGTCCTCAGCTGCAAGGCCTTCGTCGGAGACCCCTTGCGTAAACTTCTCCTGAAACTTCGAGTACAACGTCTCAAGCTCGTCATCAATCAGCGTAGGGTCATTGCCACTCATGCTTGCCCGAGCATCGTCACCGGCAGGCGACGCCAACTGATTCTTTCGCTCGTTGGTTTTCTGACCCAACTTCGAAGCATTCGTTATCGCATCTACCTCAGAAGCTGCTGCTCCTTGTAGCGAGCTGTTGGCCGCTCGCCCTTGTTCTGACGCAGAGTTCATTTTTGCGACATCGTCGCTGGTGAGGCCAAGGCTGCGGTTCAGGAGGTTGCTTGCGATTCCGGCGCTTAGACTCGACCAGAGACCGCTGACGCTTTTGTCCGACCTTCGCGCCAATCCCAGTCAAGCCTTGTGGAGCCACGTGGCCAAATATGCCTTTTTTGGTGGTATG